CACTACAATTTCGGAGCAGCCTCTGCATCTCGAATGTCTTCCTATTTTGGCAATTTTACCCCTACAATCTCACCAGTCCTCAGAGTTTCAATCCGTTGACCAACTCAATTAAAGAAAACTTGCATCCGAATAGTATGCCTTTTCCACTCCAAATGCTTTTAAGATGCATTTTATGTTCACTGTATTGTTTTCCAACTTTACTTTCATGCACTGGTGATAATTGGACGGATTAGCCCCATATTGGTGCATCAAGAGCGCCTTACCAGAGTATCATATGGTAATTTGTATCGCTTCCATCACATGGAACTTAGTGGTGGAGAGGATCTCGCAAACTTGCTAAGTCCATAAGCACATTGGCTTTTGGTAACTTTTTTCTCACCTTCAAAACCTGTTACAGTCATCGGTGCCGAATTAACCTAAACTCTAGGATACCGCCTTTGTAAATGTATCAGTAGTGATTGATGTTTTATCGACACCCCACCTCAAAGAAAAAGCACGCTTGAACTGTACATCATTTGATGTAAACTGTGAAAAAAGATAATCGGTTATAAGGAAATGGGTGATGCTCTGGTCTGTTTTTTGAAAAAGTAATGGCCCCATAATCTTCTTGAAATGCGTCAAGGCATTTATACTCCTTAGCCTCAGCAACTTCAGCATGGTGCAACTCAGAGATATTGATGAGGGGCCTTTGTTTGCTATCCATCTGGCAGCTTGCTCACCCCAACTGTCAAAGAAAGTGCAAAACTTAACAAAATTTTGCAAGGCCTGAGCATGCAGATATCCTTTGCGAATTTTGCCTCTGCAGGTACTGTTCTTCAGGAGGTGGCCAGTTGTGATTCTTTTAACTCATCATTAGTAGGATGCCATGCTCACTTGATCGCATACAGCCAAGATTACAATCAATTGTACATTTTCCATTCCTCCTTGTGATTATGATAGGGTTCTTCTTACATCACGATTACTGGCATCTTTGAACTTCAGCTCGTTTGCGTCAACTTCTCTTGAAGATACTTTTAAACATCCAACCAATCCCTAGGGGTGTTTTGGTGTTCTGTGATAGGCACAGTAATCTGGGCTTCTTGTCTTTCTTGGTTGAGTGACATCAACCGGAGGCAAAGTAAGTCACACATTAGCGACCCATCTTAACCAAGGCCTTAACATTCTCAAGGCTGCAAGGATATGGATTTCTATCTCATAACTCTTCCTCTTTCTGAGCGGCTCCCTCCTGTAGAGGTATTACCGTTTAGCAACTCTACTACTGCGGGAGTACGGTGGCTGTCACGATGCATTGTGTAAAAGGACCAGTCGGTACTGAGGTTTTTAGCTTTGCCTCAATCAAGGCTAAAAAGGTAGGCAAATTATGGTCACCAAGAAAATTTTTTGTAGTCGTCGTATGACACCCTTTCACCATATGCTGACTAAGTAAGCTCATCCCACTGGTCAAACAGTCGATAGCCTTATTTCTTGGAACCACTAAATAGATCCAGTACTATCTTCGCCTTCTTTTTTGGACAAGTCTACTCCCAAGTGTGGGGTTGTAACTTTCTCTTGGACTTGGAAGGACTTCGGGTATGGAACTTGTTTCACCATCTCTTCCCAACTCTTGATCGGGTCGGGAGCCAAGTCACATACCAACTGTAAGCCTTTTCAGTAAGTGATTTGGAGAACTCCCGAGGCGTAGAGAGTGGGTCACTGCCATGGATGCCTTAAAAAAAGGAGTTTCAATGAACCTCACCCATGGTTCTCTAGCGCTTGCCTGGTTTTCCATCAAACTTAATAAACTTGGGCTTGTATACCCAGTTAGTATGCATAGTCAATATCTCCTGAGGAATGGGGGTTCAACTGGGTCTGGGAGAGACGGCACTGCTTCATTGCTTGCTCTTGCTCGAGCATAGCTTGTACAGCGACAAGAGTAACAAGTGAGTAGGCTAGAAATGGTCTAGTCTGCCCCTGGGTAGCTGAACCAGTGGCTGTACCGTTCGTCTGAGGTACCACCCAGAGGCACCTGGGAATCAGAGGCCCAAAACCTCAGGGAACAAAGTTAGGCACTGGGTTTGGGGACTACTACAAGGTAGAGGTGCTGCTCACCGGAGCTGGGTCTTAGAAGTCATGGCCATAATAGCCTCAGTGAGAGTTTGCCAAAGCTGCCAGATCTCCTTCTGCGTATCCTGGGAGTGGACTGAACTACCTCAATACAACATTATGTGGTTCATCGTCTCCACATGTGTGCTCGCGTATGAAAGCCTTGCTGCCATGCGGAGTTGCTGAAAACTTCATCTTCGTGCTTTTTTTTTT